ATGCAGCTAAAAATCAAACCGGTTTCCTGACTGGGCATACTGGCTCACACCTGTAATCTCAGCACTTTGAGAGGCCAAGGTAGGAGGATTGAAACCAGGAGTTCGAGACCAGCCTGGGCAATGTAGTGAGAGGCCCTGTCTCTATAGAAAATATTTAAAAATTAGTCAAGTATGGTGGTGACATGTACTTATAGTCCTAGCTACTCAGGAGGCTGAGGCAGAAGGATCATTTGAGCCCAGGAAGTCATGGTTACAGTGAGCTATGATCTCACCATTGCACTCGAACCTGAGCTACAGAGCAAGACCCTGTCTCAAAAATAAATAAAATCTGTTTTTCTGGAAGTTTTTATTGCTGTCGTATAACTAAATTCAACAGACTTGCACCAAATGTCAGCTAGATGTTGCGTGCTTTGCTAGATGCTGGGAATTAAGACACGATCTGAACCAATAAAGTAAATGAATCTTTTTATTTATTATGTTTTTGTGGGAGTTTTTAAATAGTGGTCAAAATTCCTAGTACTGTAGTAGTAGTAGTGGAAAGTTACAAAGAAAATAATGAGGACGGGGAGACACCTGTTATCAACAAAGGGGCCTAAATGAAGCATATTTGTATACCTAACCCTTAACGGTACCCCACAACATCGTAATAAAAAATATTGATTTAAAAAGAAAATAATGAAAAATAGGACCAGGCACAGTGGTTCACGCTTGCAATCCCAACACTTTGGGAGGCGGAGGTAAGAGGATTGCCTGAGCCCAGGGATTCAAGGCCAGCCCGGGCAACATGGCAAGGCCTCATCTCTACAATAAAAATAAAAAACTGAACCGGGCATGGTGGCACACACCTGTAGTTCCAGCTACTTAGAAGGCTGAGGTGGAAGGATTGCCTGAGCCCAGAGGGTTGAGGCTGCAGTAGCCATGAGCATGCCACTGCACTCCAGCCTGGGTGACAGAGTGAGACTCTAACTTATAAATAAATAAACAGTGATAAATGCTTTGAATTATTTGCCTTCCCAGAAACCAAATCTTATCCTGAATGTTGACGGCTTCATCGGTGTTGCGTTTGTAGACATGCTTAGAAACTGCGGGTCCTTCACTCGGTGAGCATCATAGTCATTTTCTTCTTAATAACATTTGTTGATTTTGGTTGTTTTCTTCTGAACTATAAAAGTACTGCATGCTCATTATAGAGGATTTAGAAAATAAGGTGAAGTATAAAGAAAAAAACAAAATTGTCTGGGACTACCCTGAGGACAGAGCACGCTTCTACTTTGAAACCCAAGAGACCTTCTCATTCCTGGGCAGTAGTAGCACCTGTCCATGGAGAGGCAGGTGGTCATGTGAGCAAGTCATGTGTGTTGCAGGGAGGAAGCTGATGAATATATTGACATCGGAGCCCTCAATGGCATCTTTGTGCTGGGAAGGAGTATGGGCTTCATTGGTGAGTTTCTTTTTGTTGTAAGAGTGGTGTTTTCTGGGTTTTTTTTTAACCCCCACAGTTCAGCTACACCACATACCCATGTGGTTGAATCTGTACCAAAGCAATGTGTCTTTTTCTTCATCCTTGTCCTTAATCCTTCCTTTCTTATTTTAGCTTTCCCCTTATTTTTATCTTTGTTCCTTTGTTCTGAGACATGATTCCTAGCCCAGAAAATCAATTAAATCCACCAGTTCCCTTGTGCCAAGTCTGCCTCATTACCTATGGTATGGCTTTAGATTTCCTTCTCCACTGCTTTCTATCTGCTTTTTTATTTTTTGGTATTAGAAAGATTTCTAACTGAACACATTGGTTCACTCCTGTAATCCCAGCACTTTGGGAGGCTGAGATGGGAGGATCACTTGAGTCCAGGAGTTCAAGACCATCCTGGGCAACATAGCGAGACCCTGTCTCTATAAATAAAAAGATTTCCCTTCCGTGTCCTCTCCCCTTACCAGGCTTACAGAATGCTGATAAATAAAAAGATTCATTTACTTTATTTTAGGACACTATCTTGATCAGAAGAGGCTGAAACAGGGGTTGTATCGTCATCCGTGGGATGATATTTCATATGTTCTTCCGGAACACATGAGTATGTAACTGAACCAGGAACCCTACTGCAGTAAACTGAAGATAAGACCTCCTCCCCCGTGAAAAAGTGTGCAGACAGCTGGCAGCAGAGCATGCTAGAGGAGGGGCCTACAATGTCAACAGCCACTAGTGTCCAGGCACCAAAGACCAAACCCACAGACTAAGACCTGTTCATTCCACACCAAGAAGCTTCGTTTTTTTTTTTTTTATATGCCTAGAAATAAAAACCAATGCCAATACTTGTGACATCTGCTCTGCTCCCTGCTGTATTTATTATATGAACGCATCTAAGCACTGTCAGGATGGTGTCCTTCCTCACTGTAGGGCGTTACCTTGTTGCTTTCTTTTCCATTAGTTAACTTTTTATTCCTTTGAAGGAAGGGACTTAAACCTCAAGATGCCATACATTTAAAACCCTGATGTCTTGTCTCTCTACTTTCTTTTCTTCCTCCTCATGTAAACATGAAGAACATTGTATTCATCTGATTTTTAAGGATCTTTTGTTACGTGTTAAGTAAGGGTTGGTTTGGTGTTCCACTGAAATGTTCTGTGTTGCAGACCAAAGTCTGCTTACGTCAGGGGAATGGGACCATTGCATCCTTTGCCATTGTCACAAAACGTGGAGTAGTAATTTAAAATGTAAAGTTGTAACATACATATGTTTAAAATGGAAACGCAAAGCAAAAAGCTGTGAAGTGTCTCGTGTCTTATGTTCTCTGTATTTATGCAGCTGACTTGTCTGTCTAGTACTGAAGCGTGAGTCCAAGGACTCCTCTCCAGCTACTTTGCATCTGTAATCCACAAATTTCTGGGTAGCTGCCACTTCAGTCTCTTCTCTGTATTATCATAGTTTGGTTTAAATAAACTATATAGTAACAATGAAGGCACACTATGGTCTCTGGTCATCACATTCTTTCGTCTGTATTTCTTTGAGCTATGCTTTCTAATAGTTTTAGTACATGTGATTTTAAAAATGCTCATCTACCTCTTTAAAAAAACAGAATTAGGCTGGGCATGGTAGTGCATGCCTGTCATTCCAGCAATTTGGAAGGCCAAGGTGAGAGGACTGCTTGAGGACGGGTTTGAGACCAGCCTGGGCAAATATTGACACCACATCTCTACAGAAAAAAAAAAAAATTAGCCATGGTGGCATTCCTCTGGCCTGCTACTGGAAGGCTGAGGCCATGGGATTGCTTGAGCTCAGGAGTTCAAGGAGCTATGATGGTGCCACTGCACTCCAGCCTGGGTGACACTTAAATAAAAAATTAAAAAAAAAAAAAGAATCAAAACAGCATCAAAAAGTACAAAACCCCCACTTACCTTCTTCCCTAAATCTGTATCTTCTCCATTCTTGTGATAACCAAAACTCTTCCTACATACTCAGGCCAAAAGCTTGAGTGTCACCCTTTCCTGTACCCTTGGCAACGGCCAAATTCTGTGATTTCTCCTTTAACTATTCCGCTGATCCAGCCATATCTGGTCTGCTAACTGGTGTCCTTATTTTCCCTTTTGTCCCTATACACTCCATTCTCTGTACCAGTGAAATTTTTTTTCCTTTTTTTTAAAGCAGGATTTATTGAGAGGACAGAAAAGCTCCCACAGTGGGGGGGGGGGGGGGGGGACCCTAAGGGGCTAGCCACCAGTTAAATTTTTATTTTTATTTTTTGAGTTGGGGTCTGTCGCCCAGGCTGCAGTGCAGTGGTATGCTCATGGCCACCTCAGCCACGATCTGCTGGGCTCAGGCGGTCCTTCTGCCTCAGCCTTCCAAGTAGCTGGAACTAAAGGCATGCACCACCATGCCCAGCTAATTTTTTTATTTATTGTAGACATGAGGTCTTGCCAAGTTTCCTAGGCTGGTCTGGAACCCATGAGCTCAGGTAATCCTCTCACCTTGGCCTCCCAAATTGCTGGGATTATAGGCGTGAGCCACCACACCCCGCCTACACCAGTGAAATTTTTAAAAACCCACGGAATTGAGCCACTCTCTTGCTTAAAGCCCCAAAGTGTCTTTTCAGACGAGATAGGGCGTGTTCAGGGTGGTATGGCCTTAGACCAGCAAGTTCATGCTGAGCAGTGACTGCAGACCAAGCACTGTGCAAAGCCCTGGAGCAGTCTCTCATTGAATCCTCAGTGGTCTTTCGAGGTGGACAATACCCTTATGTGTAGAAGATACATTTGTCTAGAGGTCGTAACTCGCTCACCCTCACGCCCCTTAGTTGGGTCTCAGTCTTATAAAAATACTATCCAGGGCAGGCACCGTGGCTCAAACCTGTAATCCCAGCATTTTGGGAGGCTGAGGTGAGAGTATTGCCTGAGCCCACGGGTTCGAGAACAGCATGGGCAACTTGGCGAGACCTCATCTCTTCAATAAATCAAAAAATTAGCCGGGCGTGGTGGCGCGCACCTGTAGTTCCAGCTACTTGGAAGGCTGAGGCGGAAGGATCGCCTGAGCCCACAGATGGACGCTGCGGTGGCCGTGAGCGTGCCACTGCACTCCAGCCCGGACGACAGAGGGAGACTCCAACTAAAAAAACCCCCAAACCAAAAAACCCTATCCATATTGCCACTCGAAGCTTTAACGACGGGTGATGGTCCAGGGTGGCCTTTCCTTTACGACATAACCGTGAGGAGCACGCTACTCCCCGGGGAAAGGGAGAGAGCCATCCTCCCGGCGACATCTGGGTGGGAAGCCCCAGACGAAGGCATCCTCACCGGTCCAGGCGAGCAGCCCAACCTCGTCGCAGGTGGGCGGGCGGGCGGCGGGCGCGGTTACGCATGCGTGGCCGGCGGGAGGGCGGCAGGCTCCGCCCCGCGCGTACTATTTAATCCCAGAATCCCCCTGGGTGGCCCCAGAACGGCCGCGTCGTGCCGAGACGGCGTCGTGCCGAGACGGCGGCGCCCGGGCGCGGCG